CTTTACTCCCCGAGTGAGAGGGAGGGCTCAGGAAATCAGGCTGTCCAGCTGTCCCTTGGCTCTCCACTTCCTGCCCTATGCCTGGTGTACTAATGTGGGCCCCCAAAGTCCTGATATCAAGAGGTGGCTGCTAGAGGTGGGGGACCGTCAGTTCTCAGCCCCCACCTCCAGCAGGCATGGTTTCTTCGTGGCCAGTTGGACTGGAGCCACAGAGAACTGGGTCATGGCGTGGACCATACGCTCTCCAGATAAAGCAGGTAAATGCACACAGAAATGCATGTAACCTGAGCCTGACTACACAGGGACAGAGATGAGGCCTGAGCCTCAGGCAGTACAGAATGGCCCAGAGTCCAAGAGCTGACAAGGGGTCACGGGGGGCCTTCTCGCCTAGAGCAGGACAGAATTCTTCCAGGCCTAGGAAAAGCCAGTTTTATTCAGCAGAGCCATCACTATCCAAGTTTGTTTTTTCTTTCTTTCAAGTAACCACCTGTTTAAAAAGGCTTCAGGTTCTTGAGGCGCCTGGGTGGCTCAGTCGTTGAGCGTCTGCCTTTGGCTCAGGTCATGATCTCAGGGTCCTGGGATCAAGCCCCGCATCGGGCTCCCTGCTCGGCGGGAGGCCTGCTTCTCCCTCTCCCACTCCCCCTGCTTGTGTTCCCTCTCTCGCTGTGTCTCTGTCAAATAAATATTTTAAAAAATAAAAATAAAAATAAAAAGCCTTCAGGTTCTTGACTCCTTAATTCAGCCAACATTTCATGGGCCCCTCTATGGAGGTCACTCATTTTGTGGCCCCGGCCCTCAGGGAGCTGCAGATCCACCTAGGAAGCCAGCTCACACCTAAGAAGAATTTACAAAAGATACTCAGCAAAACCCAAACGAGAACTCATGACAGCAGGTGCTCCCGGTGAGAGAAGGTGCGTCTGTGAGCCCTGGCACTGGGGAGGCTTCAGGCACCAGGTGGGCCCTGCAGGAAGGAGGGCAGGGATTCCTGGTCTGGGACAAAGGAGTCACTGTGAGCAGAGGGGAAACAGAACACTGTGGTCAAGGGCCCAGCCTCCCCAGGCTAGAGTGGTCACTCCCAGAGGGCAGGGATGGGGTTTGGGGCCAGTGTCTCCACAACCCCAAGCAGCACATCAAACCTTGGCTGTCACTGGGTGGATAAGTAATGCAGCCTGGCTGGTACTCTGGGGAGGGGCTCTTCCCTGTCCCGTAGGCCCTGTGCTGTTCACAGTACCCCAGCCACGAAGATGGATGTTCCAGACTTTTCTCTGGCCCTTAAACCTTGACCTGTCAGCAAGTCCTGCCAATGCCATGGTTCAAAAAGGTCTCAGATCCACTCATCTACTGCTCAAGGTTTAAAGGCTAGAGTCTAGACTTGGCCCGACGTTCATATCTCTCTACTACAACCTACTGCAGCCACCCAGACTGTAATCCGCTCTTCTCCAAAGAAACCAAACCTCACCCCTACCAAAGGACCTTCCACAGACCCTTCCCCAACCTCCACACACCTTCCCCCTGCCCTCCAACCCCTGCCTTTCCAGCAAACCCAAGCCTTCCCCATGACTCCCTCCACACTTCACTCACCTCCCACCCAGAGAACGCTGGGGGGGTGGGGGGGCTCTCCCACTCGTAACCCTGCAGGCCCTACTCAGCCCCTGGCATAGGTGCATTGAAAAAACGAGTCCGTGAGGGTTGGGGTTAGCCTAACTAGGCTTCCCATGCTGTTTCCTGCCCAAATGCCCACCACCCATAGCCCTGGGGCAGAACACAGCCTTAGCAGAGATGGAGTCCCTGGCTTCCGGGGATGAAAGTGCCTGGTTTATGGCCAAAAATCCAGATAGAAGACCCCCTTTTAGAGTCACAGTCAACTCCATGGAGCAATTTCCACGATGGGGCGGGGACAGCCCACATTCCCGTCAGCCTCACTCCCTTCAGCCCTGCTGGGCCCGTATCTGGCAATCTTCGGTAAACCACTCACTCACTGTTTCCTCGGCCGCGAGACTGATGCCAGAGTGGCCCCCCCGCTGCTGCAAGGACCCTTGCGGACCGAGCACAGGTGCGGGCGCTGCCAGGTGGGCCTGGAGCACTTCCGAAGAGCAGCCCCTGCAAACACAACCGCCTTCCTGCTGCTTCCCCAGCTTGTAAGACTGTTGCTCTTAATGCTGCTTAGAACCGCGACACGTTTCACTTCCTCCCATAGTAATAAGGCTTAGAATTCTCAAACCCCAACCCAGGACACCCCTCCAGCCTTCTCTACCTACTTCTGCCTTCCTCTGTTTCTCCTTCAGGGGAAAACACAAACACTGGAATAGATCTGGATTCAGACTGAATCAACACGTAAGGAACACATTACATTTCCAGCACATCCAGTTTTTACTGGACCTTCATGACAACTCCTTGTGGTTAGAACCGATGGTGCAGAGTCACCCAGGGGCCAGATCACAAAGGAGCTCACAGCACCCACAGACCAGGAGCACCAAAAAGATGATGAGAAACGTTTTCTGGAAAACTGATCCGACATTACCAAACACATCACAACCGCTTTTATAGAAACACTCAGAATGGCACTGGACTTCCTTACCCTGCATTGCGTGGTTTTGTGCTGGTTTTACTTCGTCTAACATTAGGGGACGCTAATCTTTCCGCACAAGCGGATACAGGTCTTCATCTCACCTGGGTGTTGCTTTTCACCTATCATAGATGTAGCAAGTGAGGTTCTGGGAAGGCTAACGCCTTGTCACAAAGCTTGGAAGCGACAAAAGTGCCTCCAACGTGCTCTGCCGAGTCTAGACAGTACTGGTCCCAGGACCTCACCTTTATTACCAGAACCTGATAACTCACAGAGCAGGAGAGGGGCTTGGTCTGCAGGCTCAACAGCGACCAGACCTGCATCTCCCTGGGTGGGCTGCCCTCTCTGGGGGGAGAGGCTTTGCCACAGGCCCAGATCAAGGGCCCCCTCTCCTCTGCAGCACTAAATTTCAATGCAGCCTCTACCACCTCCTGGGGAGACATGCCTGGGAAAGTCCTGACTGCAGAGATGAGGAGCCGGAAGCCCTCTGTGGGGTTCTAGAAACTGGCACATTCCCATTCTGCACACTCCATTTCCAAGTCCCTTTGTGAAGGCCTAATAACCCTCGTGCCAGCCCTGCAAGCCTGGGTCTCCTCCGCACTAAGGGCCTACATTATCTGCAGAGCTCCCCCTGCATGCTGCCTTCTCACCAGCATGATGGCTTTCCTTCACATAAGGACAGAGACATCAGTATAAGGTGCCATGACTCTACCACATTTCCCTGTGTCCTCCATTAATAAACAGATGTGCATGCCCTTTGAAGAGTGTTGCTGAAGCTGGAGATGAATTTCTACAGACCTGTCTCCTCTCCCTCTCAGACAACTAAACAGGATTAAGGGTTGGTGTTCATGCCTACAGAACACAGTATCTCAGACCAAGGGACTCAAAGCTTGTCAACGGGGCTATGCAGCCCTGCTCCCCTGGAGCCTGAGAAAACACACGGAACTAGCAGGTTCAAACCAGGCAAACTTAAACTGTAAAGAGTAGCAACAGAGTATGCAGGCTGACAACTTATATTATTGAATGTCACCGAGACCTGCTGGGGCTATCTGACTATTGGGATGCATTTCATTAGCATTCCCCAAAACGTTTTTGTTCCCTGAAGTATTATTGCACATCACACATTCCATGTTTCTGCACTTTGTAACTTCAGAGCCATGGCCTACTGTTTTCAAATCTCTGTAAGAACACATGTAAAGTTCCTTCCTGATTCTAGAGGCCCATCCTATGGAAAAACCTTCAAACTCCTCCAGCTCCTCAGGGGTGGGAGAGAGAGATAACCCTTCAATACCCAGGGCTTCTACTGGTTAAAAAACAATAAGCAAAAATTCTAAGAGTCTACTTACTTATATGCACGTTTAATTATTTGGGAGGGAACAGACTGATGTCTACAGTTACTTTGACATACCTAAACAAACAAGAGTTAGATTTGAGACAAAAAATGACAAAATGTTGTGCGTTCCAGGTGGTAGTCTATTGGCATTCAGTGTAAAGTTTCTTCAACTTTTATGTATGTTTAAAATTCTCCATTAATTAAATGTGGGGCTGCAGACAAGGCAGAGCTGGCACGCCTCTCCCCACCCAACTCTTAAGTCAGCCCCGAGGTAAGAAAGTGCCAAGGAGAGAGGTCACACTTGCCTAGGCACTGCCTGCCCAGCAGCAGGTCGCACTCTACATACAAAACTGGTATAAGTGCTATGCTCCAGGACCTCCAACCTTTTCACTTTAGGATAAAGGCTCTCAACCCCAAATGTGACTGAGAATTATCTGGGGAGCTTATTAAATACAGTCCTGGCCACATCCCATAACTGCTGAATCAGAACCTGCGGGGGCGGGGGGGGGGGGGCGGGGGGAGCAGCTGCCCAGGAATCAGCCCTTTTAACAAAGGCCTTGGTGATTCTGAGGCAGAGGATCTGAGACCCACACTGGAGACACTCCGAGCCGCTAGCTCCTTACCTGACACCTGTTGAGAAGCCTCCTGGGAACATTTAGAGACAAACAGAAACGCACACACCTACGAAAAGGTGCCCAAAGCTGGGCTCGAAGACGCGGTGGGTGCAACTACACCAAGGTCCTCGACCTCAACGAAGCTGGGCCCGAAGCCAGGCCTGGTCACTGCCTCCCCGTCAGCCCCGCCGCGTGCGGGCCGAGTGCGGGCGCAGAGATTTACAGACGTCGCCGAGAGGGGACGGGCGGGGAGGGAGAGGCGCGCGGGCCCCTCGGGCCTGCCAAGGTCACCGAGGAGCTCAGCAGGGGCTCCTCTGTCCCCAGGACCCTCCTCCCGACCCGCTTTCCTCGAGGAAACAGCCGCCGCGGAAAGCGGGAGATGTTACTTCCCCACCCTTCCTTACAGGAGATGCGGGACCCCGAGGAGCGGGCCGGCAGCCCCCAAGGGACCGACCCCGGCGCCCCGCCCGGGCCTGGCCAAACTAACCGCAGCCCCGCGGGTGACCGGCCAACCCAGCGACGGTGCGACGTCAAAACCCCGCTCTGGATCGCATCAGTGCCCGGGGAGGAGGCGACGGGCTCGCTGCGCCGCTCCCGGGGACCCTTTACCTCGGGAGGCCCGGCGCCGGAGGCCGAACCAACGCCGAGACAGGCCGGGGTCCAGGCGCTGGGAGGGCGAGACCCTCGGCCCCGCGGGGCTTTGCGCGCACACCGCCCCCCGCCCGCTCAAAGGTCTCTGGGAGATGTAGTCCGTCCGTGCGCCTCAGGCGCGCTCCGCGGGTCGGGGAGACCACAGTGCCCGACATGCACCGCGCAGGCGGGGGCTGGGGGCTCAGCGGTCCGAGGTCACCCTCCTCCCCACCGAGCGCCGCGAGCGCCAAGCCCTGCTCCCGGGGGGCTCCTCCGGAAACTGTCTCCAGCGGCCCAGGCGACTCACCGTCCCCGCGGCACCCGCGGCGGCCGCAGCTGCAAGAACGCACACCTCCGCAGCTCGCGGTCGCGCGTCTGTCAGAAGGAGGCGGGTAGGCTTTGGAGCAGGGCGTCAGGGCGAGGGGCGGAGTCATGAGGTCAGCGCCGGGGCGGAGCTTCTGGCGACACGCGACGGTCCCTGGTGACGTCACGGGGAGCGGAGGCGCTTCGGCGATGGCAGGACACGTGGGAGGGCCCGGGAGGGTTTTGTCCTGCGAAAGAGTGGCATGAGGTTAGGGGAAAGACCCAGTTAGCGCTCCCTCCCGCCCTCGCAGCACCAGGGCATCCGTCCGAGCAAGGCGCATCTTCCTTCATTTATTCAAGCAATGCTCACTGACGTTAGGTGCTGTGCGTTCTGTGGACGTGCACAGAATGGGAAAGGCTTTAGTTTTGCTAGGTATGGAGGATCCAAGCTGAGGTCAAATAAGACAACTTTGTGCCTTCCTATTTTAGCTCTCATACTGTAAACAAGTGTCTCATATATGTTTAGTGCCACGTTTTTTGCATTTTTGTGGGTTTTGTTGGTGGTTTTGCTGTTTAAAATAGTCTGCAAGTGTAGCCCCAAGCTGCAGAGTATCCTGTGTAGTAGAGGTCACGCAGGAAGAGGACAGGCCAGCCTTACTATGCTAGAGGCTCGGGGGAGATTCGCTGACCCTCCAGAGTCCACCGAATAGCAGAGGGCTTAAGAGCCCGTGAAAGCCTAAAATTGAGTGTGATTGAACTGGTGTCAAGTCTTGGACCACACCACTGAATGGCCTTGTTCAAGATACTTAATATTCTAGCCAGAAAATGGGGATAAATGTGAGGCCAGCCTCCTAGGGCTGCTCTAAGGATGGAATGGCTTACTGCGGTTGGGTCTCTTCACGCATGCCCACACTGGACACAATTATTATTTGCTCTCCTTAGGGTGTCCTGGGCCTCGGTTCCCCTGCTTACAAAAAGGGAACTCCCATCTCTCGCTTGCTGTTAGAGGAATCAAGGAATAAAAAAGAGATGGTTGAATTGTATTTGCACTTAAAACTAAGGGCAGGGGTGCCCAGCTGGCTCAGTCGGTGGAGCGTGCAGCTCTTGATCTCAGGGTTGTAAATTTGAGCCACGCGTTGGGCATAGGGTTTACTTAAAAAAAAACCTAAAGGCAGATATTCCTCAAAAGATTAAACAGAGTCACTTAGCAATTCTAGTCCTAGGAATATGGCCAAGAAAATGAAAACATATGGCCACACACAAACCTGTACACAAATGTCCATAGCATTTGTTCATATTCATAGCACGAATGCTCGCATTCACTACGGCCAAAAAAGTGGAAACAACCCATCAACAAATAAATAGATAAACCGTGGCTGATCCAGGCTACAACGTGGATGAACCTTAAAAATAGCATGCTTTAGCGAAAGAAGCCAATCACATGGAGACCACATATTGTATGATTCCGTTTGTATGAAATGTTCAGAACCCGCAGATCCACAGAGATGGGCAGATCAGTGGTTGCCTGGGGCTGGGGGAGTTCAGGGGAAATGGGTGCAGATTTTCTTTTTGGGGTGATGAAAACACTCTAAGATTGTCATGATGGCTGCACGCCACGGTGAATATACTAAAAGCCATTGAATGGGTGAATGTGTATTATACCTTAAAGCAGTTACCAAAACAAACAACCAAACAACCAGGGAGAGCCTATACGCAAAGCAACTCAGGAAGAATCAGACACGTCGTAAGACACAGCCACGCCTGTGTAGAGATGGGGTGATGTTCCCCGTGCTATTTGCTGTAGAATCCTCATGGGGCGCATCTGAGACCAGAAGCCCACGGCTGTCCCAGGAGGTGTCGGGAGTTGTCACTTGTGGTCTTTCAGTGTAACTGCTGATCTCACCTTTCCCCGGGAGCTTTTGCTTTCTCCTGACTCCTGCTGTTCTCACAGACGCACACACAAGGCTGCTTCCACGTCATCTGCCTCCTCCTCCAGCCTCCAAGCCTCACACCTGTACTCACACCTGTGCTGCAAAGCCAGCCGCACTTTATTTTTAGTCAGGATTATACCCTAACTGGGTCAGCTGGAGCGCCCCGGGCCCAGGACAGCTTTCGTGGTCCTTCTGCTGGCCCCTGCCTCCAGAACATCCTGCTGCCACTGGAAGAACACCTGTCTGCTTTCGCGGGGGCTGGACCCAGTTTCCCAGGTTTTACAGAAAACAGCCCGAAGGTGGGAAAAGTGGGAGCTCCTCCATCCTGTCTACAACCAGTGCCATCTGCTGTTCAAACGGTGGTGCAGGGGACCTGGTCGCTCCCCTGTGTGCCTTTCCTTCCCGGGCTTGGAGTCTGCGATGCGGAGTGTCGTTCATCCCTCTCAGCTCTCTCAGGCTGGAGTTTAAAGCAGACCTCCCTCCTACAGTGAGAACCATGAGAAAAGTGCCCACGTCTAACGTGTTGAGCTTGGTGGAGTTTCAGGAACCTCACTCTTGGTGCAGCAGGCACCAGGTCAAGACACAGAGTGTGACCATCCCGCAGCAACCTCCTCTGTGCCCCCTTCCACTCACTGTCCCCCCACGAGGAGGTCACCAGCGCAACTCCTAAGATTCATTTGCCTGCATGTGCATCTTCGTTACAAGCTGGAGCCACTTGGAGCTTGCAGTATGCACTTGCTGTAATGCAGCGAAAACTCCAGGTGACAAAGGGCGTTTGCAGCGCAGTCCTCCCCAAAGGAGAAAGCCCAGGTATTGCCAGGGACACCTCTCTCCTCTCCTGCCGCAAACCTCTGCCTCCTCCCTCACCCCCTCCTCCGTCAAGCTGACCCACCATTGGCTTGAAAGCCTCAAACAAAATCATGTGGTCATTTTGAGAGGCTCAGGCAACATCCCGGAGCACTTCCTTTGCACCAAGGACTGTGTTAAGCACTCTGCATGCACACCTGTCTTCCTCCCCACAAGGAGCCTGTGCACACTTGCCTAAACCTGAGCAGAGAGTATAACGTGCTCAGAGGTGCGGAGCCAGTGGCTGGCAGACCCCAAATCTCGTGACTCTAGACCAGTGGTCTTCTCGCTACCTAAGCTGCTCTCCAGAGATGGTGTGAGCCAGGAAACCATCATGTGCAGGCCTGTTCTCCCTAAAAATCTGTCTTTACACCCAGCACAGGACAGGAAGGGAGCCTGCAACCCCAGTGGACCCCACATTGTTAGGTCATTGATTTGTTTGAACGGTTGGGGCTTCTCAGACCTTTGATACAGAAAAGGGCCCTTAATCAGAAGTGCACAGCATGATGCATTTTCACAAACTGAACACACTAGTATGGCCACCTCCCAGCAGTCGGCCTCACGCTCCCTCCCAAGCATGAGATCACCCCATGCTCACCATGCTCCTAACTTCTGACAGCAAAGACAGTTCTCTCCATTTTTGTACTTTCTATAGAAAAGGATTCATACAGTGTGAGCTCTTTTGTATAGGGCTTCTTTTGCTCAATTTTATATCAGTGGAAGTCATCCGTACGGGTGCACATGGCTGCCCGTGTTCATCCTCATTGCCATGTGACAGCCCATTATGTGACTATAGTGTGGTCCTTCTGTTGTGCCGTTCACGGGCATCTGGGGAATTCACAGACAGGAGTTCTTCGCTATTACGGTTGTCGCAGATACTGCAGTGCATGGGATGAGAACGTTACTTCTGGTGGCCCGCTGATGGGTAGAGTGGCTGGGTCAGAGGGTCTGCCTGCTTTCCCCAAGTGCTTCTTTCAATTTACACTCCACCAGAGGATGGGAGTTCTGCTCATCATATCCTCAGCAACACTTAGCATGGCCAGACCCTCTGATTTAAACGCTCAATGATTCTAAGTGGAAACCCGCATGATTTCAGCATTAACGTCTATTTAGTAACATTCCTGTTATGCACACAGGTCATGAGAGTGGAGTACTCCATGGGAGCCGTCATCCATTTAGTGAACATTTACTGAGCCCTTCCTGCATGCTGGGCTCTGTGTGCTGGTGCTAGAGAGACAGAAAAAAGCAGAAAGCTCTCTGTCCTGAAGGAGCTCCAGGGACATCCTCTCTTCAGGTATCAACTCAGATGTCACATCTGCAGACGGGCCTCCCAGAGCACCTGCCCGCATCACCCATTGCCTGTTTCATCTTCTTCACGACACGTACATCACCGAAGGTACCTTGTTTACCTGTTTGTTGACGTGTTTGCTGCTCTCATGAGGGCAAGAATCTTGTCTGTTCAGTGTTCTCTATCCTCTAGCATAGTTTCTGGCACATAGTCTGCATTCAGTACATATTTATTGGGTGAGTGAATGATGGAATAAGTGATAGGCAGGGTGAGACCCGAGATCTTAGGTTCAAGTCCTGGCTTTGCCACTCATCTGCTGTCTGAGACCTTCAGTCAATTATTTCAGTTTTCTTTTCTTTTTTTTTTTTAAAGATTTTATTTATTTATTTGAGATAGAGAGTGAGAGAAAGCACCAGCTGGGGGGCAGAGGGAGAGGGAGAAGCAGGCTCCCCGCTGAGCAGGGAGCCTGACATGGGGCTCGATCCCAGGACGCTGGATCATGACCTGAGCCGAAGGCAGACACTTAACTCACTGAGCCACCCAGGTGCCCCAATTATTTAAGTTTTCTGATTCTCATTTCCTCATCTATAAAACAAGAGTGCTTGAACTGGCAAAGGAAAGAACAAATGAGCTTGAAGCTAGGTTGAGAGAAATTACATAATCTGAAAAAGAGAGAAAATAGAACGAAGAAAAATCAAACAGAGCCTCAGAGAAATGTGGGACAACTTTGAGTGCACCAACATATGTGTAATGGGCGTTTCAGAACGGAAGAGGAGAGAGAGAAAGGAGCAGAAAAAGTATTTAAAGAAATAATGCCCCCAAACTCCCAAAT